ACACACACACACACAGCTGGCACTTGAAACCTCTCTCCTCTTCCACTAGTATCACCTCAGTTGTATCACTTCCTCCATAAGTCCCTTCCCTAATTTACATTCCCCCTTGCTCACTTCAGTCATGGAGCATTCTCGCTCCTCTCCATTTATTCCACACTTTCACTACTGTCTCATTGTTGTTTCTGCTTTTTTTCGGTTTCACTCTATCCTCTCCTCTACCCTGCCAGGTCTCCTCTGCTTCTCCTTCCTCCTTTGTTTTTTACATCTTAACAGATGTAGAAGTGTTAGGGGAGGATGCAAATTGGAAGACACTTGGTTGGAGCGTGAAATAGAAAAAGACCTGCGCTGTTAATACCACTTTCTTTGTAGGGTGAGATACTTCCCATTCACATAATGTGATGTGTGGAAAATGTGTATGTTGTGTGTTTAATTTCATCTGGTTTGTGAGCATTAGGCTGCATGGCTGCACATGCAAAACCAAGCCTGTAAACCCATACATGTTCATACTGCTGTGCCCATTAAGTCTATTTTAATGACTTGATTCCAGTGTGTGTGTATGTGTTTGTGTGTGTGAGTGTGTGTGTGTGTGTGTGTACAGGCTGGAATGCACCACTGTGTAACTAACCTAACCAACAGCAGCAGCTGCATGAAAATGAAAACAAAACAAAAAATCATGGAATCAAGGGAATATGCGAGGAAAGTGCATTTGTTGCTTAACAAAGTGTAAACAAAAAGCGAGACAGCCATCACAGTCACAGGCAGTCTCCATGCTCCATTAACAGCTTTGTAAGCATCACTGAGTGTGTCTGCATGCTCTTTAATATGTTTGCTGCAACAGACAAGACGTTATTCCCCACTGCAAGTGTATTTCAGGGGCAACAGCTGTCTGCAAAAAGTGAAACCGTGCTGACGTGAAATTAAGAAGTCATGTAGAGTGCTTTTGTTGCTTTAAATCGTGTGTGGCTGCTGTTTGTGGTCCTTAGCAGACTGCACGTACGGGCGTCCACTCCTCCAGTGAATTTCAACTCATCAAGATCATATGGAACATGCACAGTGTTGTGTGGTGCTCTGGTGTTAGACAGTTGTTGATGTCTCATCTGCAGCAAGTATAAAATGCTGCGGCTCAGTTTTTAAAGGACAGGACCCCATTTAACCTGCTCCAGTTTCTCCACACAGGCTGCCAGCACATTTTAGGAATGATTTCAAGATTAAGTGTTTGTTTTTAAAGCTCTGAAGGGTTAAGCGCCTCCTCTTTGACCTCTTACTTTTGCAATTGCCCGTATCACAACTGAAGCCGATCAGATGATTCTGGAGATAAAGGAGATTGGGCCTTTGCAGTACTTGCCCTTAAAGTGTGGAGCAGTCTACCTCTCCACATTAGGACTTCACCAACTCAGGACACTTTTAAAAACTGAGACTTTATTTATGTGGCTTTATCTTATTTTACTGTTTTGCGTTTAACTCATTGATTGAATGTCTTATTGTTGTTCTCTGGTTGTCTTAACGTTTTATGTACCCATCCTATCTTAGGAGGCACAGAACTTTGGTCGTCTGCAGTTTTTAAACTTTACAAATAAATCATTTCTTTTCCACAAGACTTTGACCTTTAGAGAATTCCATATGTTGACAACGAGCTCAATAAGTGGCGTTTTACCAGCAAGTAGGCACAAATTAATATATCTAACAAAGCTCCCAGTTCGTGTGTATATGTACGGTTTGTAATGTGTTTGACCTGATTGATAAAACACCTTTGCTTGCTAATCTGAGAAACTCCTGTTACCATAAAGCTTTCTCTCTAGAAAGGGCTCAACAGTGACTATTCAAGTTGGCTTCCAAAAGATGTGACCTTCTAATCTCACCACAAACGTCTGCTACAATGTGAACCTATCCCCTAGAGAAGAACACAGAGGGAAAGGAGAAAGGGAGCGAGTCAAAGAGACTAAGGCAGAGACGTGGATGAAAGACTGAAGACTGGAGAGGTTTGCACAAGGAGATCCAAAGAGGGCAAGAAGAAAAAGCAGCAGATATAGAAACATACAGTGAGAGAGCTGAGGAGAAACTGAAATGAAAGCAGGCAGATAATAAAGAGGGGATCAACCATCAACTGCAAACGGACCGAGAGTACCAGGGAGAGCGTTCTGTCAAGACAGAATGAGATAAAATAAAAGCATCCTGTGCGCCTTCATGTGGAAACCAACAAAACAGCTTGACTGAAACATTAAACAATAATCACGATCAAAGATTACGAGGATATACATATTTGATGGCCCACTGTTGCACGCTACTCGCAAAGAAGCTTCCTCCCTTTTGATGATCGTAGACAGTTGGCTCTTTTTACAAACGAGGGAAACAAAACTGAGTTGAGGGAGAGCAGAGAAGAGACAAAACGGGAGGAAAGAGAAGGGGAAGAAGAAACAGCGTGAGGAAATCCACTAGTGTGTGCCAAGCAGGGGTAGCAACATGGAGAGAAGGGGGGTGAGAGAAAATCAATGACAACTACAGAGAGGTTTTATAAGGATAAAACTAATATGCTTTCATGTTCTCCTTATTTGTCTTTGCCTCCCTCTTTATCTAATGAGCTCATCCTCTTACAGCAAGTGGATAGCTCTGACACAGTCCCATCAACCAGCGGCGTCCAGGGCCACAGATCCATGTGACAAGGTGTTCGGCTGATGTCCATTTGTCTGTGTGCAAGCTGACTTTTTTAACTTGACTTCACGATGTTCAAACGTCACACTCCACAGCTCTTATTCCACTTATTTTCACACACACACGCACATACACAAGCCTGAATGAACACAGACATGAACTTGATTTTTTTTTTTACACTGTGACAGAGAAGGGCATTGGCACCATGGTTTATTTCGTCCACATCTACGCATAGAGCAACTGAAATGGAGAGACATGAATAAAAGAAATTAAAGAAGAATTTAAGTGTCTTCTTTCCTGCCAAAAATCTACACTATGACACTGACTTGAGTGCTTGAAGCCTCCTGGGACAAAGGTTGTTGCTGACAGAGCTTTGATGGCCGCTTAAGAAGGAGAAATAGGTAGAGCCGTGCCAGAGCAGTGATCTTCAGAGAGTGCAGGCCTAGGGGGAGACTTACTTGCCCATCTCCCCTCTCATCTGCTGCACAGTAAAATGCAGAGAATCAACTCTGCATCCCTTCCTCTCGTTCATCCTACCTTCTCATGTTTTCTACAGGCTCTGCATTCTCTCTCTCTCTCTCTCTCTCTCGCTCTCTTCTTTCCTCCCTCCCTCTCTGCCCTAACGAGTGGCTACCCCATGGGCAAATTGCAGACTGGGGCCTCAGACATCAAGTCCCATTCACCACTACACGGGAGTGTGTCAGCACCAATGAAGCTCACATGAAGATGAGACTCCTGTCCAGTGTGTTTGTGTGTGTGTGTGTATGTGTGTGTGTGTATGTGTGTGTGTGTGTGTATATGAGTGTGTGTGTGTGTGTCATTCTGCAAATACAGGTTATGTGTTTTTATTAAGCTCCCTTCCTATTTGCTCCTCTCCCTACTTTACTATGTCACTCACACCAACCAACTACCTTTTAAGCACATTTTCCCACTGTTGTGAGGGAGAGTGTATGCATGAAGAAGAGGAAGAGTATCAAGACTATAGTGGGAAAAAACCCCACACAAAGCAAGAAAAGGAGAGGTAGAAAAATCACACGACATTTGAAGAAAGAAGGAGAAGAGAAATGAGCCAAGAAATAAGAATAACTGGACTGAGGAGAGACTTCAGTCCAATGACTGTCACTATGACTTTCAGTGTGTGTGTGCATTTACTTGCTATCTTTGCAACATCTGTGTGTGAGTGTGTGAGTGTGTGTGTTATGTGTCCCCTACAATTTTATTGATCAATATCTTTTTCATTTTGCTCCCTGCATCAGAAATTTCACTCCCGCTATTACAGCTCCTCCATTCTAAGGATCAATTTTGCCCATACAAAACAACACTGCATAAAAAAAAAAACATGAAATGGCTTTTTACACAGCAAATCATGGTTATGATTACATATTGTTCACAAAGTGCTGCTGTCGAAAAAGAGCTCAGAGGAAAGTAAGATGTGTCAAGTTGCAGAAGTTTATATGTCAATCACTGAACTTTTTGGTTTTCTTGGGCTTGTGATATTTGAGTTTGACGTTTACTGCATATAACCCATATCACAATACATACTATATGGGTTGCATCAATTACAATGTTGCATTAAAATAATCTTCAGAGCTTCTGTGGGTTTCAGCAAGGTAAACTTTATGTAATTTAAAAAAATGAAGACCTTTGCCAAGTACAACAAATATGAGGGATCCTCGGATTCCCAGGATTACTTCCACTTCCCCATCATTAAAGATAAGATTTGAAACCCCACGCTATCTCTCAAACTACAAGCAGAGACAATAAGTATCTTAGTCTTTCCTACAGCCATGTTTACTGAGATAAATTCTGACCAGAGTGTTTGTAGACTCAGTTATCAGTTCCATAACGGTCCGGTTTGCAGTTTTATTACAACCTGCTAATATCTGTATCATTGGGAAAGAACAACACATGGAGGCATAAACTGTGCATGCTGCAAAAGAAATTGCCTGAAGAAAAAAAATTCTAAGGCACGACTGAAGTAGTGTTAAATAACCATTAACATAATTTAGACCTACCTAAACATATTGAAGACCTAGAACACAACAGTTTAAGACTTTTGGGGCCTACAATTCAGATAATTGAATTTTAGACTTATTAAAAACTTGAACAAGCAAAATGGAACTCTGGTCATTCATATGGGTTCTCAACTAATTTTGTAGGTGTGATCACAGATTATACAACTACTCTCATAACACTGATCCAAAAAAAAAACATTTCTGCAACTGATTACATTAAGCATTATGATCACATAATGTAATGTAATAAAACATCACAAATCTTTATTTCTCATTATCAACCAGTCATTGAATTGTTTCATTTTGGGTGGGGGGAGAACCAGCAAATCACAAATTGCATTCCCTGTTATAAATGTGGCTCATTGGTTTAATGCCAGTTGTGTGTAATTGGATGTCTAGTCATGCCAAAAGCACTGTGACTGGGGATTAAGCATGTCTCTCTGCAGTGGTGGCTGATAGCTCTTTTACCCCAGTGCCAGTCAGACATCCCAACTAAAACCTGAGCATAATGCTATTCTGATCCACAACACTATATTTCACCCACATCTACGAATGAAACATGAAGGGGTATTCAATGAATGTGTCAGTCGACATTATAAACAAAACCGCTTGAACACTTGAAAGTCCTAAACATGGAGATTCTAATGAATTAATAATGATCACACATATGGTTGGTTTAAGAAAATCTGAAATATGCCACATATGACGCAATCCTATTATTTTCAACTAATTCAGTGAGGCATTATTTAGATGTTTAATCGCAGGCCGAAAACAAGTCTTGTGGTAACGGGCAAACTGTTCACAAATCTATTTAGAACTGGATGGTCACACACCATTGATTTCAGCACTTGTATTTGACCCTAATTACACCCTGACCATAACCCTCTATGCAGCAAAACTGCCCCCTTCAAGGCAATAACTGCAAATTGATTTCAGTTACAGTTACACATCCTCGTACCATCCTTGTTAGAGTCCCTGACAACAGACACAGAGTTACACCCCTCGCCAAAGAGTAGAGCCGCTTCCTCCACATTAAACAGCCCATTACTAGACATTGATTGCAGTTAACACCGACGCCAGACCATATTAATCGCTCCATCCTTCCGCTCTGGTGCCTCGACGCAGATCTGAACCTGAGCATTTATCCGGGATCATTTAACAAAGTTGGGGGAAGTGAGGGGATTTCTGTCAGTGCGTATCACATCACCCCGGCTGCAGCGAGTTCAGTCAGGCTGTGTGAAAATGAAGGAGTTGAAATGAGGAGAATGTCAAGCAGAAAAGACAAATTGGATGTTTTGGCGCTCAGGGGGCAAAGAGAGGAGCGGTTTGATAAAAGCAGTAGCAGCAAGGTCATACAAGACTCGTCCGTTTGCAGCAGCAATTTTGAGGTAATAGGCAGCAATTTCCACAAGTAACTATATGAGGAGGAGAAAAAATAAGAGTCAAGATGAGAGCAAAGTATGATAAGGAGCATTGTTAAAAGGAGGGAAGAGATGTAGAGATAGAGAGTTGATGTTCAGTAGGAATGACAATGTGGAATAAATCTTAAATAAGATTCCTGATATAAAACTGTTAGAGAGAGATTAGAGTGGAAAAATACTGCTCATTAAAGTCTTCGTACCCATATATTTATACTGATAGTTTTTCTTGGTGAGAGAAGCATTTGTGATTTTTTTAAATTCTAACTAAACTAAATATCTGGTGTTTTTGCAAGTTAAAAGACAAAGCATTATAAATTTGGTTGCACTGTTCTCTAATGACTTGTTTTTCCCTGTTTTTATTGTTAGCTCAACAAAGACTCATCTTCACTAATATAACATATTTAGAACACACACTTTGTGTTCACAGTTTTTTCTTCATTTATAGGTTTTCTTCAGTTGTATATGCGGTATAATGGTTTAAACTGCATGTTTTCAACATTGTTATATGTTATCCTAATGCAGATGTTTATTTTCTTACAAACCCATTTGTACTTATTATTATTATTGCTATTGTCTTGGTGTGCATTTCTATTCTGGAGCGACTGCAACATATATCTTACAGAAAAAGAAGGCATCAGAATAAATGACTCTCACACTTAACATTTACATCTGGGGAGCATTGGTGATTAATAGTTACAATTGTAAACTGTTATATGAAAGGAATATTCATCTTACCTGTTGATTGCAGAGCTGAGCTCATCCAGACGGCGTGCATCGGTGGTGGAGGTGTTGTCGAGTTTGGACAGGCTGTCCATTCTCTTCAGAATCACCTCCAGCATGTCACTGATCTTCCTCAGCACACCACGTGACTCCACACCCCCCAGCACTGAGCGGAGAGAAAGACATGGAAGGAAGGAGGCGAGAGGTGAATGAAAACCTGGACAGTGGAGTGCATGACAAACTTGTGGAACAGCATGTAATAACCACAAAGCCTGCAGCTCTTCTGGCTCACAGAGCTGCAGTTGATTTTGGTGGTGGTTTCGATTTGGACTGTCTTTGCATGGCGGCATTGATAAAAAGTAAATTAACTTCTCTTTTAAGCCAAAATATGCAAGTCTTCAATTAAATGTTAGCAGCTTTAAAAACTGGTTGTATGTCTTCAGCCACCAGTTAAGTTAAACCCATGTTTGTTCAGACTCATACAGTGTAGACTGAAGGAAATTTCTGTGTTTCACCATTACATTCACATGTTTTGTGAGGTCACAGTGACTTAAATCAGTTCATCCTTAAGTTAAGGTTTGTGTCAAATTTGTAGAAAGTCCTTCATGGCGTTTCTGAGATATTGTGTTCATGATGGTAGAACAGTCGGACAACTTGAACACATAATGCCTCTGACCAGTCTGTTACCAACAAGGACAAATGGACAGTTCACAGGTTGTTTAAAACGCTGCCATTATGTTTCACTTAACAGAACATAAGCACTAATAGCAAAAGCAATGCTGCAATAGGAGAGTATTACATTCAGACAAAGGCCTTTGTCTTAATTTGATCTTTTGCCTCTGTCCCTCACCTCTTTGTTGGAACAAGGTGCTGTTCACTGATTACATTTTTTTTCATACAGTCAACATGAAAACTGTTTGAGGCTCTTCACATGCAATGTACCCTAAATCAACAAGTATAATGGACTGAGAAAAGATGACAGTTTTAAGAGCTGAAGCTCTATGAACCCTCCGGATATATATAACACCATTGTAATAAATGTTTGGATATTGAATTAATCATTACTCAAGCTTCTATTCGCCATTTAATGTGTAAACCTTTTTACTTTCATCTCTACCCATGTTTGCTTCAAGGTTTGCTTTTGTGAAAGATTTTCCTTTTTGTCCTTTGGATCTTTTGAAAGTATCCAGCAGTCTGTCCACACATCACCAGCTGGTCATCCTCTATAAACGTGTGGCACTCGGTCCCTAACACATCCCCAGTGGTGGTTGCCATGGCGATCAAGGTCCCTACACGTGTAATAGAGGATATGATACGATAAGTCTCTGGCTGAGGGGGATTGTGAGCTGTGGGACTGTCACACGGTCATGTAGTTACGCTAGTCAGAAATACAACATATACAACATAATTCGAGCAGAACGTAGGGTGACGATATGACTTCAACTCAATATCACGATTATTTCAAACTTTTACCTTGTTTACAATCAATGAAGAGTGACTAAGCCCATGTGAGAATACAGCAGGATAATGGTCATGTTGATGATGTTTCTCACATGCGACTAATGTGAAATATATACATACAAATACAGCAAAAGGGAGCCATGCATGTGGGAGACGGCAACAGAGAGGTCAACAAGATTCAAGAGCTATATATCCATCATGTCCTGGCTCCTGCATGTTCTACCCAGATACCACTCCTCACCTGACTGTTCCAGAATCGCGCCTGACCTGGACACTTCAAAATTTCCTGCCTGAAAAGGCTCTTGTGATGTTATCTCTATTCTCCTCTTTTGCTTGCTTCTCCCCTCCCTCTTTCCATCACAGCTTTTAGTTGAGTTGTCATCTTTTGCAGCATCCAGGATGCGGACACAGACGGACCCTCCAGAGAAAGCCCAATTTTACAGTGGGACCAAATAAGAGTATCTCCTCTTCACTTGAGCATGTGTGTAAATCCTTAAAGTCTAAAAGCCAACACTTTTGGTGATCTCATGTCTTGCTATGTGTACAGCTTTAATTCTTGTTTCCTCAGCGTTCAGCAGTGAACCCAGTTACCCAGTGCTGTATTTTGATCTCTAATCATAGATAGGGTTTTGTTCAAGCCAGAACCTCCAGAGTGCGATGTCTGAATATGGGCTTCATTTTAAATTTGATACCCTTTTCATATATGACGTTCACCAGAACCATGAGTTATGAAAAGCCAGGAACTAATTACGTCGAGACTCTTTGCTCTTTTCTATGTCTCTGTCTGTGTGGTGGCCAATTTCTTTCTCTCACCTAACATAACAGAGAGAACTATCTGAGAACAGAGAGGAGCTGTGTGTGTCTGTGTGTGGGTGTGTAGCTTTGTGTGTGTATAAAGATGGGCTTTGAAAAGAGATTCTCAACACAAACGACACATAGATGCAGAGACAGCAAGACAGGTAGAATATACCCTTAGTGCATAAAAGATGTTCCCGACCTCATTAGAATGATTATACAGACACAGCCAGGTTCACAGTGTCTGTGAGTTCAGTCATAATGGCCGACAACGAGGAGGAAGGTGAAAAGAAGAGGTGGAGACACACATGGAAAACTTCCTCATTTAACTCATCACATTTAAGAGAATCAGCGAGAGAAGAAAAGTGACTCATGAAAGAGGAGGTAATAAAATAAATGCGGTTTATCTTTTCTTTCTCTGGTTGAAATTAGGTGTAATAGCTGAAAAAAGTAAGACCAAGAAGAGCAAGAGACCTGTGCTACCTTTAAGGAGATAAAGCAGAGCTCGGGAGAGATCTTACTGTTTTTCAAGCTTCTTCATCGCTTCTTCTTTTTCAGATAATATTATCTTATAATATAAATATTATTCTAAACCAAAAGAAAGAACTTTCCTTGAATAAAGAGTTCAACGAGCTTAGGCTATTTAATGAACACCCTCTAATATATTAAAAAAAATAGAATGTTTTGTTATATTTTGTTTATTTATATTTCAGCCCTAATGTGTGATCTCCAAACTGCTTTTAATTGTTTGCTATTGTTATCTTTCAATATTACATCCTTAACTTGTCATTTTATTGTTACCATTATTAATATTGTCATTATAAAAAAACAATGATAATTGTTTTAAACTACTCTTAATGGACAGAGAACCTGTGAAACAGAAAACAATTGAACAAATTGGCGATAGATCAAGTATGTATTATACTGCCTCACCATGCTTGTACAATGCTTTTGCAATATATAAGATGAGGAAATGTATATTGCTACTACTGATTTGCACAATGTGTTTGAAAGGAGGTTATGCGCTGTACTGTTTGTGGTTGGGAGCAGGAGACATCAGTGTCATCGTTGCCATCAGTGGTTTATCATTGTGTGTGCAAATCCAATAAGACAAACACAGAGGAGACAGATGGCAGAAAAGAGTAAAGCACAACACTTGTCAGAAATGAGCTGTCATGATGCTGGCACATGATGAACAAGACAAATGAGGTAATGGCAGTTTTTAAGAGTCAATATTTAGTGACAAACTGATTTCAGTGTGTAGGCTATAGGTGCATTTTATTGTGCATTTTTAAGGTGCATTTATTACAAAAAGTGATCAAAATCCAAACACTGTCACATGTGATAATGCAGAGTGAAGAGAGCCAAGGGAGATCTGTCCACTTGAATCTCATGCCGTCATTAAATCCTTAGCAGCCACACACATAAACAGCTTATCAGGATACAGCTCTAGACAGAAGGGGCACAAAGGTCAGAGTGTATCCTTCCAGCCCCCATCAGAGCTCTTGGTAGAGCCCACATTGACACAGCAAACACCTGGATTACGCTGTCCGACCGCTCTATCAAAGCCCATGTCTGCTGCTTGACAGGCAATTACAGCCAATGGGCTCCATGCCTAACAGCGCTGATGCAAGGTCATTGTCTGCCTCCATCGCCTCCAGCAGCAGATGGAAACCTAAGTTCAGTGAGTTATCTTCACAGCGACAGATGTATTTGTGTGGGACTGAAATTGTCATATCCCTTGGTGTGATGGATCGCCGTGTCAGGGTGCCGATGGGTCCAGTGCCGATCTTTGTGACGAGGTGATAATGGATGGCATCCCTGTCAAGGGTCAAGCAAATTAAAGGAGTGGCCAAGCTGGGAAAATTATAGCGTATGTTAAGGGTTGAACAAATAAAGGCTCGTTTAAGCTTCAGTTCTATTCCCGAGGAATTAATTTCCTGGCCAAGTCTCTGACAAAGCATATTAATGACCTCACCCAAACACAGTTTGTTTGTTTTAAAAAACAATCATGCTGCTTTGAATTAGTGTTAAAATGTGTGACTCCCTGTCTAGGTGGCTGTTAATGAAATACCAGATGAGACTATAGAACATTGGTAAAAGCACTATAATATTTCAGTACTCGCTGATAGATAACGGCTGTGATGATCAGCAGTGCAGCAACAGAGCAAACAGGAATGATTCAACAACTTCAGGTAAAAGAGAACAGATATTTGCAGGGCTAATTGTTCTCTGTCTTTGTCTCTTCACGAATCTCGGTGTCAAAACTTAGTCACAGAAGCTGCTCTCCTCTGGATGGCAAATGACCGACTACACAAACGAGGTCTCCCTTTGAAGAGTGGGTCCTTAGCCTCACTTGTTATGAAATCTTTACAATGTTTCACCAAGGAAACTAAAGCAGAAAATTCGAAATGCTTATTTAAATCATATAATTATATAGAAAATGAGGCCCCCCCATCATATAAAACCTCATTCAGACCTTACTGGTGTAAAAGACACTGGGGCCAAAGACACAGTGCAACATGGAATAGATAGAAGATAAACAGCAGCAATAACATTACTGCAGAGATGGAGGGAGTTAAACCTGCTCAAGCTTAAAGGCAGTTGAATCAAAAAGTGTTGTGTGTGTGTGTTTGTGTGTGTGACTTTGACAGCATGACGTAACTTCACACAAAATGCAAAAGTCCGAATGTGTAGAACATGAATAAACAAGAGATGGATGAACAAAGCATGCGGCCGAGAATCAAAATTAAAAGCCAAGAAGCATTCGATTTCCCCTCCGGGTATCTGACTTGAGCCCCGGGATATTGTTTGTATAAGTTCATTGTCAACAGTCTATCACTGATCACAGATTACATAATTACATATTCTAATAGGCCCCTCACTGTTGAAGAACTCAGCTCATTATGT